ACACAGTTTATAATTATGTTCAAAACTCATGAGGACAAGTTTCACTTTAGTTTACTAGACTTCTTCTAGAGCGTTGAGCGGCACGATGTGGCCTTCATCAGTGGAGGGAGTTTGTTCACTTGTCAAGGAGACGGAATATATAAATAAAGACTTCATTAATACAATTAATCTCATGGTATAATAGTCTCACTGCAACATACAAATATATTCAACACCCTTTCAGTCATGGTAGGTATTTACAGTATACTGCCTATAAATGCTAAATAGGGGTGTTAGAGTATTACCTCATTGTTATTTTTGGTTATTTTTGAGGATTGTAACATTAGAGATTGCCATCATTGATATTTTATTTAATTCACTATAGGGTTTTTTAGATCACTGACAAGAACTTAGATTTACTGTGATCACAAATGTTTAATGAGTTGCTAAATCTGTAATACATTTATTACAACAGATGTTTCTGTCAATCAAAACAATTCTGAGCTGTGACTGATATATTTAGAACATATTTAGAATTTAAAAGTAGTCGAGCTGAGTTGCTGAGCCCAAATAAGTAGGGCAACCATATCAAAAGCCACACATTCACACACCAGGGCCACACACTGGATTTAACGAGGGTGCAGGGATGTAGACAAGCACCTGAACATTACCAGCTGATAACATATAAATTGCCTACAACACATAGTGCAGAAAGAGCATGTGAGGCAGTAATACTGGCATCATTACTTAGTGTGTTCAGCAGACTCCATAGTAGTCTGCAGCATATGAGCTGTAGCTGTCAGTTAGTATTTCAGCTGTGCAACACCCTGCCTTCAGTATGTACAATGTATATCTGTCAGGACTGCTTGATAAGCAAATCTGAGGCACCCTCACTGTTCCTGTATTAATAAACGCCTGCAGAGAGAACGGATGGATGGATTGCAATGAAGTAATGTTTTTGATTTACTGTGCTCTGCTTTTCCATCACAGGAAAATAGGCCAGAAGTATAAACCAGTCAAAGTGAGTGATATCTATTCAGCTGGTCATGCAAATATAAGCTAATAGCCGAGTATAACCTCTGTCCTACTGGGTGTTTAAAGCTCCCCTGGCAGCCTTGTGAGGGTCTTCACTGCAGACATGGCATGTAGAGAAAATACCTGCTTGTTTAATAATCAGGTAGGTACTACACCACACCTTTTACTGTCAAAGGCCAGGCTAGGCTGAACTGATCAACTCAAACTCTTACAGTTTTCTCCTGTAAGTCATCCCTTCTCATTATCTGTGCAACACTGAGAACTGCACACAGAACGACACACATGGTTCACTGAAACTCCTGTGAGCAGTTTGTGATGCACAATGGCTACAGCTTTGCTTGCTTCTGGATTCATCACCTGATCTTTGTTGGTTGGTTGGTTGGTTGGTTGGTTGGTTGGGATACTTGAACCTAGTCTACTTAAAGGTGTATGAGCTGTTCATGCCTTACCTGGTCATAAAGTGGCACAGTGCAACTTATAAAAGGATAACTAACACATTCTTTGTATTACAAATCTTGACCACATCTTTCAACAATAAAACACACTCTTGCTCAAGTCAGTGCACGCTAGCCTTATAGCCTTATTTAGTCTGTTGTCGCAACGACCTTAGCATCTTGCAGTATCGCGGACATTAGCTTCCTGACTTCATAACTACCATCTACTTGTTTTAACACATTACTTAACACATGTTCTGGCATTTACCATTAACCTGGAAATGTCGCTTTGTGTCCCCAGAGGCTGTTATTCATAGATGAATTTAAATGAGGATCTACGTAACAGAAAAGTAACATTCCTCTACCTGGGACAACCATCATTTCTTCTAGAAATGCACAATGTTTATGTTAAAGCTGTAACTTAAGGTGCTGTAATATTAGCATGATGCTCCAAATCGACCCACGCTCTGTCCAGCACTCCCTCTCCCTGCTCTACTATGCTCTTCAGATATTTGTCATTATGAAATTACAGTAAATGAGAATGCAAAAATATTTACTGATCAAGCAGCGATAACTGAAAATCCCACTCAAGTCCCACTCAAACCCTTTTAGAAGCTAATATCTCTGAACTGCTGCCAGTGCTGTTCAGTGAGTCTGGTTCACGAGATGCTTTAACAGCACCTCTCCACATTTAGACAAGTTTTGGAGCAGATTTCTACAACAAATATTTGGAAAAAAGTTACATACTGTAGCTTTAAGCCTTGATAAGAGTCATAAAACTAACTTGTTCAAATAATTTAAAAAACAAAACAGAGCTGAGGTGCACAGGAACTAAACACTTTATCTCTGTTCTCAAGGCTCAAATATATTTTTAGTGACTCATGCATCTGCTCTGTTTTTGTACAATCATCCTTCCTTGTTTCTGCTGAAGTTGGATTTTTGCTGTAACACATGGCTTAATTATGAGAAGAAGTATCTGCTCTGCAATTTGAAGAATCTGCTCTATCTTTTAACATCTAACAATGGATGTCTGTGTACCATCTTCTTGCTGCTGCGGTTTCAGTTTGTGAGCTGTGAACTTCTGTTTCTTTTAAAATAGTTTGTCAGTGTGATGTATAGGTTTAGGTCTGATTTAATTTCAGTTCTTCCTTCCCCACAGTCCACTAGGCCAAGCAGCTATAATGTCATATACATTTATCCTATACCTGAAAGGCTTTATCATTTCCATCTTTACTTTCTTAACAACTGAAAACATCTGGGAATATGACTATGTACATTCAGTAGCTATGACAAATCCATTTTTCATTTTTGTATTAAGTCAAAAAGGATATGAAAACTCTATTAAATCTGCTTTCAGTGACTCCTCAGATGCATCTCTGATTTATTTCACAGAGAAATATCAAGACCCTGCCTTTATTTGAAAGAGAAGGCATCATGAAAATATAAAATACAACATGATATGCTCGATTGAATCAACAAAAGATTACAATAAAACACAAAACTCTTTGAAGTTTTTGTGTTTGATATGTATCCCTGAAGGCAGCAGCTCACCTTTAAGCATCTATCAACAAGCCAGCAATTTCCTTGTTGCTGCATATAACTGTATTTTTTACATTGTGTTTTCTTTCTGTGCTGGTTTTACAGAGAAGAAAAAACTTTGCCTATGGCTTGTATTTTAATTGCAGCCCCCACCATCAATGTTGCACAGATGGTGAAGGCCTTGAGGAGAAAAAACTGTGAAAAGTGATCAATAGATAACCTCAAAATTCCTCTCATGTGGCTCCCCCTTGTGGGATGAGGAGCTATGCTTTCTCAGTGCAGTTCTGGCTTATGATTTACATTTTAGACACTCCTATCTAGAGTGATTTACAGTTAGTGAACTGTAGGGAATTTGTTGTCCTGTTCAAGGACATTTTGACTGGATAGATGGCTGTAGCACAGACTGAAGCTATAAATTCAGGGTTGTACTGTCACTCTCTAAAATGTGGAGTTTTTTTTCTTTAATTCAGCTGCCCTGGTTTGTAAAGCTTAATCATAAATTTGTTGCACTTCATATCCCTCTGAGCCTTGTATCCATGTTCCAGTTTACTAAAGGGGGTCAGTGCACAGAGGCAGGGGTTCAGTGTCTTGCTCAAGGACACTTTGACAGGGATGGGCACATGGGTCTCAGAGGACTTACCAGTTTATTTCAGCGATAACTTATGAGGACTAATTTTAATTTAATCACTTTTATTGGCCAAGTACGTTACACACATACAAGGAATTTGTCTCTGGTACAGAACTGAGGCAGCCATCTGCAGCGCCAACTCACACACACACACACACACACACACGCTGTTTTCATTCCTTGTGGGGACTTTACATTGACTTACATTACATTCCTGTAGACTTATCCTAACCCTAACCATAACCACTATTTGCCTAACCCTAACACCTAACCCTAAACTATGTTGCCACCCTAAAATTCAGTGATTTCCTTGTGGGGACTAGCTTCTGGTCCCCACAATGTGAGTGTGTTAACAAGTTTCGATCCTCATGATGTAAGTAATACAAAGGCACACAGTGGCGTTGTCCCTGCAAGGTGCTGACCGGGCCATCGGGAGAAACTTGAGGTTCGGTGTCTTGCCCAAGAACACACAACATGTGGACTGGGAACAGAACCACTGACCTCCCATCGAGAGGACAACCACTCTACCTCGTGAGCCACAGCCTACCCTTTAAAACAGTTATTTCTATGTTGCTTTCATACCTACAGGTCGAAGCACTATCATTGCTTAACCCCTTCCTTTTCCTTGGTGGTGAATAAAATGTGGCATCACTGCAGTGAGCAAAAGTGACCAGAAAGGTGGCATCAAGATTTTTTTTTTGTCACTTGGAAATGTTACTTAAATTAAACAATTCTGTCTGGGCCTTATGACATCTTTCTTATTTACAACTATCTCAATAAATCTGCATAAATATGTGTACCTTCTGAGCTAGACTGAATTTAAATTAAAATTGGATTGGATTAGGATTATATTGGCCATCTGTAGTATTAGGTTTCTGTCTCCTGAGTAAAATCAACACTGGCCACCTCCACACTCGAGTTAGGAAAGCTCACTGCTCCAGTCTGACACACATTGAAACTATCTATCAATACGACAAAATGCCCTGTTTGCACATACTGCACTTTAGTTATGCTTGCCTTTAATTTATGCTTCCAAGGGGATGTGTAAACAATTACAATTACTTGCTGCAGTCACAGTAAATCACAGTAAATCAGGATACTAAAACAACACAAGGAGATTTACATGCAAATTGGCCCGGGGAAGGTGGCCACATCAGCACTTGAGGTTCACTGTGCTGTGTGTTTCAAGACCAAGAGTGTCTTGTAATTTCACTTTTTTAGGCCATAAAAACACACAGACAGCAGGCACAGTATAGTATGCAAAATACTGCATTTATAAAACTGCTCAAAAACTTTTCATAAATCACTTTTTTTATGGGGAACTGGTTGGCAATGCCGTAACCTTTTCTAGTACCAGGTACTCAAATGCACTCCATCTCCACTCATTACGGTGCTAGACTACCGTGAAGTGTCTCCAATGGTGAGCAGCAGGACTGTTCATCAGAGGTGACGTACAAGTGGGAGCAGGGGACTGGGAGACTGATGGAGCTGTGATCCAAACACACGCTCTGCACCTCCACAACAAGCCCAAGGAACAGATTTATCTGAGGAGAATCAACAACAGCACCCGGTGTACACAGGCACCATGCATAATTAGCACTATAGACAGAGTGAGCGGAAATATGCTCAGACTGCAAACAGCTCTGTGATTCAGGGAACACCAGAATAAATAGGCGCTTTTATGGTTTGACTTACTGTCAACACGCATGAGGAGGTATTCTGTACTGAAAATGAAAAGATCCTCATGCTTGGAAGAATGCATTCATTTTGAAGGTAGAAATAAAACCTTGTCCTGATTTTGCATCCTGCTATGAACAGTCTAGATAAGAGACCAGTGTGCCAAATTAAAAGGCTCTTTAGGTTTTGTTCAACAGCAAGGCCACATGCAAACACATAATAACAAAAATTCTTTATTGTTATTTATATTAATAAAATAACACCATGCCATGGGACAATTAATAAATCGCAAACAATGTACAACTCCTTCCTGGGGAGCAAATGGATATTCAACATCTGCATAAACAATTTAAAGTTAATGTTCCAAAAACAGCACAATTTTTTCAATACAGTAAAGTACATCTCATTTTCCAGATGTTTGGTTGGGGCCAGCAGCTGCGCTGTGTATGGCTTCATGATGGATTTTAAATTTGAAAGTTTAGTTTATGTATTTTATATGAAAGGTTAAAGGTGGCATTATATCATGTCCCATGAAAATAAACCAAATATACGTTAGCCCGTGTCTGACTTAAAACAATTTACACAACTACATCCTTGAGTTAAAAAAACAAAACACAGATATTGTATATCAGTAAACATAAATGTAATTATCCCATCCTATTATTTTTAATGTGCTGTCATTGCCCCATACAAATAGAAAATTGTTGCACTGTGCTTTAACTTCCCTACCCTGTTTAGGAGCTCATAGCTCCAAGTCTGCTTGGTGCTGAGAGTTTCTACTCAACTTAGTTTTCCTGAGGTTCCTGAAACAGCTGGGCACTGTAGCTTTTAGAAAATGTTACACATGCAGCAACAAACTGTGCGTTTTGGGGACTATTTCCAGCTGTGGATTAATACAAAGTTGGTGCTCTAGTGAGCAGTTACAGCAGTAGGATGATGTATGTGCAAGGTAATCTAACAAACTACAGTGTCCATGTTAATGATGGAAATTACCATCCTTATCATTAAAACTCCTTATGAATATCAGTGCAATCAAAATAATATATTTCCACACTTGGATCCCTGAGTTAAAAAAAGACAAAACATTATAAACCAATAAAATACATCACTTCATTTTTAATGTGTTGTCCATGACCCGGCCCAGCCGGGTACTGTTGCACTATGCTCTTTAGTACAAAGCATGGCAGCTCCTGTTTTTCTGCTGACAATATCCAAGTACAGGTGTGATTATTTTCCAACTCATTTAAGTCACATAAAAGCTTTTAATGAATAAGCACCCATCCATTCGTGGGATCCACTTCATAGTTAGCTGAGCATTCCTTCCAGGTACCATTGAGGCAAATCCCCTTAATTGATAAGTGTCAAAAGAGACATCTGTAAACAGAAGGCACAAAATAAATAGTTCCAAGTACATCGAGACTGCTCCTTTGGCTAATTCCTTCTTTAATAACTGTCACTGTTCCCAGGGGCTGAGTCCATCTTGTTCAGGGTCCCTTCTCATTTGCTTTACTGTCCCTATTAGTGTTGATCTTCCTATAAGTGTCAGATACAAACATATATTCATGCGAGCACCTTAAGCTTTTTTCATGAAGGTACTTGTTTAGGTTTGACGATGAATGGATGAGGGATGTGAATTGGTCAGGCGCTGTGGATCACTGAACATGTCTTCTCTGAACAGGCCCTTGGCAAAGTTTGGTGCATGACCTGTGCTTGACAAGTCAAAACAGTACAATACATGTTGAGAAATAGCATGTGTGTGCGCATGTGTGTTGATGGGGAAGCATATTATATATGAAATCATTAATTTTCTTTTAGTGTAATTGATTCAGTCAAATTTTAAAAAATGGCAGAGAACCAGGATTTAGGATAACCTTTCATTTATTTCTGTGAATGCACAACTGTATTCACAAAAGTTTTATCATCCCCATGGGAGACATGTTCATTTCTTTTGTAAAAGAACTGACTTTAGGATTGAGATGCCAGAGTATGACAGCTGTTTTGAGAACAGAACCCTGTGCAGTCAGTCTTGCTTGGTGGTATATTGGTTCACGTCTGTCAGCTGTTTGTTTGTGTCAGTGAATGCAGGACAGTTGCAGAGTGTAGTCTGCTGACATCTGTCATCATCTTGGTCTCCCTCTGTGAGCTTGTTGCTGGAAAAACACAACAAGCCCTTCATTGCCAATGTGTCACGCAGTAGAAGAAGAAGAACCTCTGACACACAATGGTACTTTTAAAAACTGCCACAGTGCCACCGAAATTCAAGACTAAATACATTTTTATGGCATCGAGAAGAATGTAACATCCACTTAAAGGTGCTGTCAACCATCTTTCAAGAAGTGTACACTACAGACAAAAGCACAAACTGTTGAGGAGAGCTAGTGCACATCTCAAACAGAGCTACTGTATGTGCAGCAAATCTGTAATATCAATAAATATATGGCATCTCTTGGCTGCAGTTTCAAACTACAATACTGTGTCACTCACCTGCTGTGGATGAGAGAAGTCGGCAGGGTGTCTGTGGGTGGGGGCATGGGCATGCCTATTAGTAGGGGCATGCATATGGCCATTTCCAGGACGGTGATGGTGATGATGTGCGGCAGGATGGTGATGCACATTGGGCCTGTGTTGTTGGTGTCCGTGAGCCACTGGCATGTTCACTGGAGGTCTGGAGGGTTGAGGACCTCTAGTTGGGGATTTGTGCTGGGTGCGATCCTTGGGGATGGTCTTGAACTGTGTGAGGGGGATAACAGGAGGAGGAGTTGGTGGGTGCTCAGCCCCAGCAGCAGGAGCTTGATGCTGTGTTCCAGGGTGAAGCAGGGCAGCCTGGGTCTGTTGTTTGCGATTGTGAAATATTTGAGTCCTGTCAGTGTGGGCTTTAAGTGCAGCCTGGGTTAGGTTTCTGGGATCGGGCTGGGCAGAAGGGTATGGGACAGTGTCTCCTTGGCGAGGCTGACGGACACCATGTATGATCTGTGTGCCCAGATCTTCTGGTGGTTTTCGGATCGGTGCTTCTCTCTGTTGCTGGAGCACATGTGCCTGTGGAAGGTGATTAGGATCAACCAAAGCTCTCGTATCTGCACTCCATGGTGCAGTCAGTCCCTGTTGTGTTCTGGGTTCTTGTGACAC